GTGAAGCGGAGGAGAAAAGAGGAAGAGGAATAGAGACCGAAACCGAAACCGAAACGAGAAGCAAAGAAGGACTGACGTTGGAAGAAATATCAAAGCTCAGAGCACAAGCGCAGCAAAGGAGTAATGAGGCGATAAGGGCTGCTGAAGAGAGGTACACACAGGCTTTGCAATCGGTGAAGCAAGGGCTGAGCACTGCGGTCGAGCAGGCCTCCGAAAAAGCACAGGCTGCAAAGGACATTGCCCTAGAAAAGGGTCAGGCTGCAAAGGGAACTGTCCTGGAGAAGGGTCAGACTGCAAAAGAAGTTGTGCTAGAGAAGGGCCAGGCTGCAAAGGAAACTGTCCTCGAGAAGGGTCATGCTGCAAAAGAAGTTGTCGTGGAGAAGGGACAGCAAGGCGGGGCTGCAGCGAAGGAGGCGGCGGAGAAGGCCAAGGACTACACCCTGCAGAAGGCGGCGGAGGCCAAGGATGTCACTGTGGAGACCGGCAAAGAGGCTGCGGAGAAGGCGGCGAAGGTGGCAGTAACCGTGAAGGATAAGGCGACGGCTGCAGGGTGGACCGTGGCGCATTACTCCACGGAGAAGACGGTGGAGGGGACAAAGGCGGCGGCCAGAGTTGTGAAAGATGCCGCAGAGTATGCGGGGCATAAGGCCGTGGAGATTGCAAAGAAACCATTGGTTGCTGCCAAGGATGTTGCTCTGTCGGCGGGGGAGAGTGCCAAGGAGTATACTGCTAGGAAGAAGGAAGAGGCACAGAGGCAGTTGGAAGAGAAGCAGGGGGCTGCGGAGAGACAGGTAAATTACGTCTCTTTTCCACTCATTATTTATAGAATGGTATGTGTATATTATGTATATATCACAAATTAAGTCACATACGATGTCTCTAAATTACTACAATTGTTTTCATAGTATCCATATGCCAATTGTTAGAATAGAGATTACGCACGAGGAATTTGTATTTTAGTGATATTTAACTTTTTTCAATTATACAATAACAGAGTATTATGCTTTAATGATATGGTACTCAGATATATACATCTAGCATTCATACTAGTTTAGCTTTATGAATTATGTAGCATTCAGATTTCAGAAGAGAATCTATATCCATACAAAGTATTATCTTAGTCGGAAATATTGTTTTAAACCAGAAATCGCGGCTTTGATCTGACAAGCTACGGAAGGGAGAAATGAGAATTGATTGCATTAATGTGGTATGTCTTTGTTTGAAGGAAACGGAGAGTAGTCATTACGAAGAGAAGAAAGAAGAAATAGCACCAGCTCATCATGAAAAAGAAACAGAAGAGACCAAAGTAGAGAAAGAATATGATCAGAGCACACAATCATCTGATCATGATAGTGGGAACATAAGAAAAGAAGCCTCCAAGTCTAGCAGTACTAGTGTGCTAGGAGCCATCGGAGAGACACTTGTGGAGATTGCGCAGACGACAAAGGATCTCGTCGTTGGGGACGGCGAAAACCGACAGCGGAAACGAGAAACGAGTGAATCATGAGTCAATTGTTGTTGTATGAATTATAACTTATGGTCCTAAAAGTTGTTTTGGGGTGTTTTTCTTGTTTTGGTTCGAATAATCTTGAGTTTTTACCATGACTCGGGACCACCCTTTGTGTAATTTATCTAGCTTGCTCATGTTATAATAGTCCAGTTTGTTATATCATTGATGCTTTTATTTCACACCACGCTATAGTGATTGTCACGCTCACTAAAGTTTAGCACCACATTGAGAGGCCATCACCTCACTTTGGAATTGCCGAATCTTCTAGACCGACGGAAAGTAAAAGACAAGTCAACCCCACTCTTCCAACTAAAGCAAAGCAATTCTCAAGCCATTATTGAGCTGATATTATCAACCCAACGAAAAACACGGTTGATAGTTGGAACAAAACACTGTAGTCTAAGAGCGCGCGCGCGCACACACAAAAACCATCGGATGACATTGTTTTTTTTTTTTTTTTTTTTTTTTTTTTTTTTCCCCCTACCCTGCTTTTGAGGGAATTTTCTTTTCTTGGTAGAAATTTGAGGAAAGTACCTTGAGCCTTTTTGATCTGAAAGTACTTGGAACATTTGATTCTTCAGCTTTCTCTTTGCTCTCCTGGTCTTAATTGTCAATTAGCACAATGGACTCTCTAAGATTTCTGAAGACCACCCTTTTAATATCTACAGCTGAAATTCTCTCTCTCTCTCTCTCTCCTTGTTTATCTTGAAAGAATTTTCTTAGGAAAATCAAAGCTAATATGGACTTCTTTGTCTAAGGATTTCACATTAACAGAAACCAACCAGGAAATTCAAATTACACAGAAAAATTCCATATGTCTCCAAACTCCCCCCAGTAAAGGAAAGAAAAAAAAAATCCCTGCCCAATATTCCTTTCAAGGATTAAGTAGAGTTTATAAAAAGATGGTATTCAAATTAATCAATACAGTAACCCAATACAAGATAAACAAAAGATATGTTTTAAGTATTTGGAGAATAAAAACCGATATTAACAAGGGATTTGATCAGTAAACCACTCCATTACATGAATTGGGGCTTTGATCAGCTCCAGAGCAAGCTCCACTATCACCGTCACGCAAAAACAGCACGGACATATGCACGACAACAACAATCTGCCCACAAAATTTATTTTCGGCCCACCATTCAAATTTGATTAATCCCATTTGAAGTTTAATCCATCAAAACATAAACAAATTTCAAGAAATTTGCACGAAAAATCAAGAAACAATTTGTAGGCAAATTTTCAGGGAAAAAAAGCAAGAGAGAGAATTATTACCCGACGATCCAGACGACGATGCCGACGATGGAGATGAGGAGAGAGAGAAGGGCGAAAGGAAGGCCCAATAGAAAGCCCAAAGGCCTGCAATGACCGTCCCCGCTGCACATTCCGTCTCGGAATTTCTCTCTCTTTCTCTGACTCTGCGTCTGAAATTGGGAATTTCCTTTTTTTTTTTTTCTACTGATACTTGAATGCTTCACAGAAGATGAGAGAAGTAACAGCCTAATATCCCAGATTTTTTAATTATTATTTTGCTCAACTGAATTACTGAAATACCACTAAATTTATTGAAAGGAGAAGTAACAGCCTATTACGTCTAAATCACATCATTCCTTATATAGGTTTTTCTTTGCTGTCTTTAACAAGGTCGTATTGTTTTGGGGGTTTTTTTTGTAAGGAAAATATATTTATTGTGTTTAGAATTGATCTCGTTTTTTATTTTTTATATTTTTTAAAAAAGAAAAAAGAAAAAATATTTTTAAAATGGTGTTTGGCGTAATAAAGATAAAAAAAAATGAAAATGATTTTTTAGTTTAGCGTAAAATGAGAGATAAATAAAAAATAATTTTTAGTCGTTTTTCATTTTTTGTTTTCGTTTTCTCCTCTCTCGAGCAGAGAGAAAGAGACAGAGATATTAATGAATTTTTTTATACTGAAAATAATCTTTTAATAAAATTACTAAACGCATTTTCAAAAATGATTTCAATCGGAGATTGAAAACGTTTTCATTTTTATTTTCATATAAAAAGTAAAATTATTTTAGAACGAGTTCGTTTTATCATATTTCTAAAATGTCACATTTGTGAAATTGACAAAAAAAAAAGGAAAAAACTCACGTCGTCTTAAAATTCGCATTAGAATACAAAATATTTTTTATTTAATTTGAGATTGACCTAAATAAAAATATAAGATTGAGAGAGTTTCTCTATTACGATCAGAAAAAATAAATTATTAATATTTTTAGTCTTTAAATTTATATTAGAGTTTTTTTTTGGTATATTTTTCAATCTAATTTAATTTTTTAATCAATATTTATAGTCAGAAATTAGTCCAATTGATATGAAAATCCTACTTAAGAAAGTCTAATATACTTTTTCATGGATGTAAGTAACTATATATTTTTATGTATTTTTTTGACCACAGAAGATAAATATACTATTCTTAAAAGTATAAGAGATAACAGAATAAAATCTTTCATAAAATACATGAAGATGTTTTTGTGGCTATGCCTCATTGGAATCTAACAAAAATGTTCCCCTATTTTTTATATAAGTTCTCCTTTTATTTTTTGTTTCGTGGGTACGTGTATTTTTTTTTCTTTTTTTCTTTTTTCTTTTTATTTTTTAAGGAAAGGTGCGTGTTTACTTTTTGTATTGATGAGTAATCGATCAGAGTGGGAAATTTTCTCATATTTTCTTTTCTTTTTTTCAAACACAGATATGATTTAATTTAAGGCGAAGCGACACATGGCTGGCTGTGGCAAAAGCAATTGCATACCAAGTCAACGAATGAAATATACCCATAATTTTCAAACAAAATTAATGTAAACATAATTTGCAAAAGATAAATTATATGGTAGAACCTTAAAATGCTTCTAAAAGGCGCTTTTAATTGTTAGATTAAATTTTTAATAGTAATATTTATATAAATTTATATTATATTATACATAATTATTTTTTCGGCAAATTTAACCGTTGACATTGTCAATCTAATAATGAAGCATTTAAAGGTTTCCACCCTCTGCCGGATATGATAAATCTACCTAACGTGGATACACTTTCGTCTCGTTTATTTTACCGATTTGAATTTTTAATTTTAAGTTTTTACAGTAAAAATTTTTTAAAAAATGTCACATTTAACTTTTTTAATTACAGTAAAAAGCTCTCAGAAAATGTCACATCTCAACTTGAATTGAAAATTTAAATCTGCAAAATGAACGAGACTTTTGCTTTGTTTGTTTGGCACGTGGAGGGAACTTCGTTCCTTCTTTTTTTTTTTTTTTCTTTTTGGCGTTTGCTTTTCTTATTTTTTTCTGTCCTCAATTATTTGTTATTTACATGCTTTTTCATCATTTATGTTTTTTCTCATTTTTCGACCCTTTTTTACATATATGTTCAAATCCACTCTAATTTTTATACTTTCTTAGAGTTACATTTGATTAAAATTGCGTAAGAATTATTAATTTGTGAAATGTCATTAATATCTACAAATTAGAATTTCACAATATATAAAATAGGGTATAGCAAAATTTAATTTCACAATATATATACTTGGGTGTAGCAAAATTTCTTAACGTGAAGAATTGGACTGTTAGATCTTTATTAAAATTTGTCCAATTTGCATATAGTTTAATTATATCGGTTGCCTATTATAGAAGTGCTTTTTGTTTAATATAGAAAGGACTTAAGTATCTTTCGCTTTTATTTTCAAACCAAAAAAAGTCCATTAATTCTTTAGTAGCCTACAAAACACTATTTTGTTTGTACGTTACAGTTTTAGTTTTTTTTTTTTTTTTTTTTTTTTTTTTTTTCAACATTGCAATTTTAAAACGTTAGATATTCGTAACATTTTATTAAAATTTGATATTATTTTGACGCTGGTGTGATTCTAAAGTATACATACAACATTCAGAAAAGTACAATACGGATGCAATCATGCAAATACTTTACTATATTAATCCTTAGATCGTCAGCAGTTTCTTCTTGTTAATTTTGTATTTATACGGTTCAAATAATCCTAAAGCGTGTCTTCGTTATTATTATTTTGGTAATATTATGATGCCTTTTTTTTTTTGCTCGAAAGTTATATTATGATGTCTATAGTCCTAATTGTTTAACTTCCTAGACTCAAAAAAAAAATTTTTTTTGATAGTAACTTGCTATACTCAAATTTGTTTGATCTATCTTCTTGAAAGGTTCACATTAAACACTCACCTTACCTTCAAAAGATTCTTTAAATGCTTTTGCTGGTGGAGCTGCCTGTTAGATTAAATTTTTAACAGTTAAATCTGTAGAGAGAATAATTTCGTGTGATGTGCAGTAAATTTTTAATACATATATGTGTAAATATGACCGTTGAAAATTTAATTCAACAACTAAAAATAGTGCTTCCACCGGTACAAACATTTTGAGAGTTATGCCATTACCAATAATTAAAATATCAAAAGAAAAAAAAGAAAAAAACATATCCATTTTTCATTATTCATCTTTAGAAGGAAGAGACCGTGTTAATTATGACATTTGGGTTAGATAGGTTTGAACTCTTTACTTAAGTGTACCATCATTTTGTGGGTTGAATTAGAGAAATATCATTTTTAAAGAGTTGTTATATGGATATTCTATTTATAAATAAGATTTAAATTTAATTTAGACATAAAAACGATACAAATGAATAATTTGACTTCATATATGGTGCTCGATATAATTACACCATTTTATGAGGTGATTAAGGTCCCGTTCACTTCACCGATTCGAATTTAGAATTTGAGTTTTACTACAGTAAAAATCTCTCAAAAAGAGTCATATCTAACTTTATTACTATAATAAAAAACTCTCATATAAAGTTATATCTCAACTCAAATTAAAAATTTAAATCAATGAACTAAACGGTTATCTTCTTAGAAAAATGATTTATTATGTTTGGTTCATGGATATATGGACCAAAAAGGTACAATTTGATTCAGGCCGATGATTTCAATTAATACTATCTTTTTCAGTTTTTTTTTTTTTTTTTTTTTTTGAAAAATTACAAATAACTTGCTGTTAATGTTATGCCTGCGTGCGCGTATGAAAAGGAATAACAGCCAGATCAGGTTCTTCCTGTTATCGCTTTGGAATGTGATTCCATTATTTGGTTTTCAAGGATAAAGTAGTTACCATGTGCCCGTCATTATCAAATTCCCTGAACACGTAAAATAAATAAATAAATAAATAAACAAATAAATAAAATAAAGAAAGAAAGAAAGTGAAAAAAAAAAAAAAAACTGTTCCTTTTTTGACACTTGAAAAAGCAGTTCCTTTTTAGCACCGGTATCCTTTTTCTTTCCTTCATCTAATTATTACGTGGCACGACTGTATTGCCAAGGCGAATACTTTTTTTTTTTTTTTTCTTTTTTTGAACACGAAAACCACTTTAAAATTAAACAACTAAATTGGCAAGTACAACCGAAGATACAAAGTAAAGAATCATATAAACCCCAACAAAATCATGTGAACAATTAAAACCAAAGGAAGCTAAAACATGAGTAACATTATTATCACTCTTATTTATATGAGAGCACTCCCACCTCCCCATAGAGGATAATAACCGAACAATGTCCTCTATAATAACACCTTCTTCACCCATCGTTAAGCTTTCCCAAGGCGAATACTTACCCTTAACTATTAAGAGATTGTTATTTTATAACAAAATTTAAAAAAAGTTTAAACTTAAGTTATAATTTTATTTAAATTCACGTTCTTTTAAATTTTAACTTTATTTAACTTTATTCAAGTTACAACTTTAACTCAAGTTATAACTCAAATTCAACTCAAAAATTACACTCAAGTTACACTCCAAAAGAACAACCCCTAAGAGTATGTTTAGTTGAGTAAAAAGAATGAAATAGAATAGAATAAAATTTTACTACGATGTTTGGTTGGATTTATAAAAAAAGAATGATTATTTAAAATGAATGATCATTCACTTATTTTAAGTGAATTCTAATTCTTTCCTCATATGAGAGGAATGACCATTCTAAATTCTTTTTTTATTTTTTTCATAATTACCCTTTAATATTATAACATAATTAAAATATATTATACAGTAGTTATATCTTATAATATAATATATAAT